ATGTACGAGATGTGTCGTGTAGCTTGCCAAGGATACACGGAAATTCCGCAAAACCTATCGTCTCAAACTACTCTCATGTACGAACTTCTTTTTTCTCTCGGTATTAATAACAGTTGGAATTTCTTGCACAGCCGCGATAGTGTTCGCTGGTGAAATTTCTGCAACGAATACGATTTTGAAGAATTTTCTACTTATATTTTTTGAGTAATCAGTGTTGACACTTTTTAGAACTATGTACGACAGTTCGATCAAACGTGTGCCAATGGGTGCCTTCGCGAAATACTCAGAAATTCGTATACTGTAAGTATTTGATTGTTTTGCATCTATGTATTTTTGCTGGTTTTCTAAACGAAGTTAGAAGGGAAAGACGGTGATTAATTTGCAGATATCTGGATAGCACTGAGATACAGGAAATAGAGAAGGGAGCTTTCGTCAATTTGACTAAATTATTCTGGCTGTGAGTACTGTTACCGTGGTGTCAAGATGTAATTGTAAAATGAATTTTTCGATATTACAAAAATTCGTTGTTTATACCTTTTTCAATATTATCCACGTTAATACAATTTTGTAAACAGAATGCTGGATAATAATCAGATCAGCGAACTAGTCTCGGGACACTTTACCGGTTTAACGAGCTTGGAAACTCTAAAAGCTAATAAGAACAGAATCACTGTAGCGGATTTCTCTGATTTGGAGGGAAGCAACGCCCTGAGTTTTATGTGAGTTACTTGAATTTAGCTGCAGAAATGTTTCCACTCGATATAATCCAATTAAATATAAAGCTACCGTTAATTTCGATACGATTTTTAATTTTGTTTTCTGAAGAATTCCACTTTTTTCAAGAGATAATTTTAAATTGCTCGAAAAGTTGCTTCAATCCCTAAGAGATTTGCAATTTCTAAACGCAAGGATTTTCTTGGTTATCCGAAGAATTCGTCAACTCTTTTCAGTCGTTAGGATGTTTAATTTAAAAGCTTCGAAAGATGTGTATACTATGTATTTTATTTGAAATGTATGTAATATTATAGTTAGTCAAACTTGTCGCATTATTATAGAAATTTGAATGAAAATCGATTGACTTCGAAAAACTTGAAGCTACCACACTTGCCAGCACTACTTGAAATGTAAGTTCGTATTCTATTGTTTCTTCAACGTCTAAATATTAAAACTGGCTTCAACTGATATAGTAAAATTGCAGATACTTGGACGAGAATGATTTCGTATCGATACCTGACACGTTGTTCGTCGGATGTCCAGCACTAAAATCACTGTACGTACTTACGTAAGTAAATGGCGGAGATCGAGTATTAACCCCTTAAAAGCTTTATACATCTCATATTCGCAGCTATTCTGTATTTCTTTTAACCCTTGTCATTGTTTTAGCGTAACGATAATTCTTAATTTTCCTAAACTCTCCCTCTCTTCATCGATGGAAAATAATTTTATGTACAATATTATTACCGGTAAATTAAAAAGGAGGAAACGTATTAAAGGATTAAGCTGTTAAAAGCTTCACATATCTCATATACATAGCTAATCTGTATTTACTTCAACTCCCACAGTAAAAGATACTCCTGTCGTTATTTTAGCACAATAACAATTCTCGATTTTCGTAAAATTATCAACACTTGATCAATGGAAAGTAATACAGTGAAAAAATTGGTAAAAATATCACTGCCAATAAATTGAAAAGGATAGCAAGTATTAAGGGGTTAATCCGTTTCTCCGTCAAGATTTAACTAATAAACAGCCTTAACGAACATTCAGGAGTATGCAGAAGAACAAGATAAAAACGATCGAGGAGGACACGTTCCAAAATCTGGAGCAGCTCGAGGAACTGTAAGTTCCCCACGGTGCACTTTAATTCTCATACACGCTTGTTTATGGGAAAGTAACGAAGTTATGTCCGTCGTACATCATAGGCGGTCGTGGCAATACCGACTTTTTTTCTTCCTTTTTCAGTAATTTGGCGTTCAACGAAATAACGACCGTCCCGCTGAATGTATTCCAGCCGTTAAAAAATCTGACGAGGCTGTAAGTATACGAGGCACCGGTATCCACATAAATTGTAACGCTACACGTCTTAAGCTACGCGCGTGCTTGCAACATATTTACCTGATATTTACCGTCGAACACACGGCGTTAGAAAAGCAAACGAGAGGAACGTCACGTATGCTGGCGTTAAAACTTTTATTTATCGTGCCGGCACGTACGAAAATAAGGCGGAGACACGAGTCCCTGTGTGTCGTTACAGCCGATTTTACGGTGGAATTAAACAGCGTGTAAAGAGGATTGCCCGCCGTTCAAATATTGTCACCGAGCCTTTTCCTCCTTTTTTTTTTTTTTTTTTTTTACCGTTCCAACGAATCATCTTCATCGTACGCTTCTTCCATTCCAGACAATTAGGTTACAATCGTCTGCATAATTTACCGATGCCCGTCTTGAACCCACTGACCGAACTCTTATCGCTGTAAGTTGGACAGAAACTGGTACCGTTTTGCCGAATTATCGTATTTGTAATAGAAGATTTGAAAAGTTCGTTTTATCAATTGTTTGGATAAATGTGAATTGAATTTCAGCGACTTAGAAGGTATAAATTTGGACGTATTAAAGAAAAACGCGTTCGACGTGTTCACGAAATTGGACTTTGTGTAAGTAGATCTAGTCGTAACGAGTCAGACAAGCTTCTTTCGCTCTTATAGAAAGATATAGCGTGTGTAATTCAATTCTTTTTAATAAATAAACGAAAGTCCCTTTAAATTATAAGTGACGATTAATTGTGTGTTTCTTTAGGTACTTCAAGAAGTTTCATTATTGTGCGACTTACGCTCCAAAGGCAAAACGATGTCGACCAACCAGCGATGGTGAGAGAAATACGTTTAGAAAGCTTAGGAAATAACGAATTGGTTTTTAACGAACTTTTTACAGGACTGTAATTAATTAAAATTTTACGTTCCTTTAGTACGAGTGTACTTTTAATTAGCTATTAAATTATTTCGATTTACTACGGTTATTAACTTACATTCTATTCGTTTCGTTCAATCTCCATATAATACGAATATCGCGACGTTAATAGATTGTGGGCCAATTATTAGCTCGTTAAATGCTTCGCTTCGAATATTGTAGCCACTATGAAATCCCCGGTGATTTTAACGATAGCTATAAAGTACACAGTGGTATTTACTGGGTATTGATAAATTCGTTAGTTTTCGATCAAGTTTAATGCACTGTTAAAATTTGTGTAACGAACGCATTAATTCGAGGCTGATTTTAATTTTTTGTTCAGGTGTTTCTTCGTTATCCCATTTGCTCGACAAAACTTTGCTGCGAGCTGCAGTTTGGGTAGTTTCGTATGTTACTTGCGTAGGCAATGTGCTTGTTCTTTGGGGAAGATTCACGGCGAAGGACGAGAATCGTGTGTTGACTATCATCATCAGAAACCTGGCAGGTATATCAAATTATGTGTAATTACAGTAATATCCCGTATAATGCGATAAAAAAATTGCTACTGCCCCGTGAAACGCGATTAAAAAAAAAAAAATAACATACAAATTCTGAATTTTGGAATTTTTGGTTAATTAAATTTGACCCAAAAAGCGATATCGATGGAACTTCATTTTTTATTATACTTTTATTATAAGACTCTTATCACGTTACATGATTTTATTTTGAACAAATATCACATATTTAGTTTTTGGTACCAAAGAATTGTGAAATATTTCACGAAATACTCGTGAAATCTATAAAAATATTTTTGAAACTACTTTGACGCGATAATTCTCGTTACAATTGACAGAATATGCAAAATTTGGCTTGTCGAGTAAGTCAAAATTTAGTAAACTATTTTATATGATAGATATTGCAAAAAGTTTCCTTGTGTACGCTATAAAGACTAATAAATCAACCATATTTACTTTTAATATCGTCGTTCATAAATCACTGAATCACGCGGGCGTGGTATAGGAGACACATAATCTTTTTACAGTCTCCGACATGTTGATGGGAATATACCTGTTCATAATCGCCGTGGCGGACATGATATTCCGCGATAATTACAAACAAGTCGCTAGTTCGTGGATGTCCTCGTGGTCCTGCACCTTTGTTGGGGTTTTAGCAATGATATCTTTGGAGGTATACTTACTATTAATCATAATTCACTTTGTCCTGTTCTTCAAGAGACTGAATCATTTTAACAAATTACTCCTTTGATAACTAACGTAGAGTTTCATTAATTTAAACGTATTCAAAAATATTTCAGAATATTAAAAATTCGACGTAATATTAAATTCTCTTTTAAGCTAACTTTAACATAATTATTTAAGATGCTAATGTTCCAATATATCCCAATGGAATCGCCTGACATAACATTGAATTCCATTTTAAGCTTGCTACTATAGTAAATTAAAAAAAAATTATTTAAGATGCTAATGTTCTACTATTTCACAATGGAATCGTCTGACATAATATTGAATTCTATTTGAAGCTAGCCACTGTGACAAATTATAAAACATGATTTGAAATACCAATATTCTAATCCTTTCCCAATTAAATCGCCCAATTTCAAAATGAAACCACGACAAAATTGCACGAAAAAGTATGCAGACCTTTCGTCTAAGGTAGAATAGATGGACGTTAATGTATTGAAATAGAATCACCTGTCAAGGTTTCAGTACTGATTCTGTCGTTCATGTCGGTGGAACGATATATGCTAATCGTGGCACCACTGAAAGGTCACCGTACCATGACACCGCAGACAGCATCCGCATCGATGATCATCATTTGGATCATAGGAATTACCCTTGCTCTCGTGCCAGGTTCGTCTTAATACTTCTTATTTCCTCCGCGAAGCACACGGCTGCATGATCCGTGATAATATCTAATAACCTGTCAAGATGTCTGGCTGCCTGTTAACCCGCCGTTTATGATAACGTAATGTGAGCCAGACAACATGCTCTTATTTCGTCGCTTTGTGAATCAATTGAATAAAGCGTCGCGACGATTGTTCTCTGATTACTCAGAAGTCAATACTGTGCACTGATTTAGAATTGCATGCAGTTGATGTGACAGTTTCTGTGCTGGAGATTCGATACTTTGCTCCCTTTCGAGAAGAATTAATCTGTCTTTGATTTTACTGTTTTTTATTGTCGAAGAACAGGAATGATAGTGAAAGGGCTGACATCGTCGAGTTATTGTTGCTCCGTAGATTTTTATTTTCATAATTTAAGATCAAATTTTTAGATTTGAAAATTTGTTATCTTGCAAAGTGTTGGATGTAATTTCAGATTTTCCATCTGTCGTCTGTTATGTAAGAATTTACTGTCGTCGCAGTGACACAGAATTCTCTTACTGCTTGTCAATCTTCATTTTTATAACAGTTACGCCTGTCCTTCCGTTTTTATATTCGTTTCACATTCTCCGTTAAGCATGTTACGCGAGCTTTTAAAAATTTCAACGTCAATTAACGAATGACGTTTGGAATACACTTTCTGGTTACTATTATAGCTTCACGTGTAATAAAAAAAAGATGCAGAATTCAGAAATCTTCATTCCCACAAAAATATTCGACTATATTTAACGTACAATTAATTCACACTGCGCCACTTAGGTGAAAATTTGAATTTCGCCGAAAAACGATTAATCTCTACATCTAATGTTCCCATAAATTTCCAACCTCCAATTTTATTCCACTCTAAAATTCCCAAACTTCGTTTCCTCGACATTCCACGCTAATACAATAAAAACAATTAAAACTTGCACGTATAAAGTATGCGTGATTACAACGAAAGAGACAACAGTATTCGCAAATTAATTGTTACTTGTTCGAAAGTGATTCACTGGCGGAGCAGCACGAGATTCTACGGCGTAAACGGAATGTGTTTCCCCTTGCACATCGACGACCCGTATTTAATTGGCTGGGAATATTCGGCCTTCATTTTCCTCGGATTAAATCTTACGGGGTAAGCAACGACGATTCACGTAGAATGGGTGAAACGTTAAAAATGGTTCATCCGTGTGATAAACCTCTTTTCTTACGCTCAACGAGATGCAATCGCGAAGTTTGCAAGTGTTGAGAAGTTACAACGCTGGTTACAGGCTGATTACGATTGGTTACGTTTACGCTGGTATGTTCGTGAGCATTTGGAAAACGAGACACGCTTGTTCGCTGTCTGTCGGCGATTCTGAATTCGCTTTGAGGTTTTTCTTGATCGTTTTGACGGACGCCGCTTGTTGGGCGCCTATCATCATTCTGAAGATCAGAGCTATGATGAAATATCCTATTCCAGGTGAGTCATTTCACACTTTGCTCTGGTAATTTGTGGTGCTTCTTTCTTTGTTCATCTTTTTGACGATTAACGTGCACTTTGCTGCTATTTTCAGCTATTTTCAACTCGACAATTTATTTGAAATAATTATTTGCGAATTTTTCAATTTGAATTTCTTTACGCTGGCATAATTTGAAACACGTTAATTCCTATTCACTTTGAATGTAATTATGTTAGCTGAATTGTGTTTTAAGAGTCGTATAAGCAATATTTTATAAATTGATCGATTCTTTCCTTGAAAATAAGTTTGCTTCTTTCGTGCTAACGTAATATTTATTTTCAGCCGATCTTCACGCTTGGGTGGTAGTTTTCATATTACCCGTAAATAGTGCGGTAAATCCGCTGTTGTATACATTTACCACCCCTAAATTTCGCGAGAGATTGAGCGATGGATGGTTTGGAAAAGTGCGTAATTGTGTGATACGAAAGCCCTCTGCTGAAGGTATTTATTTGAATCGTTTCAATTAGAGAATAAAGTGTAACTAAAAATCCGAAAAATATTCGAGGAGCATTCGTTCATTTATGATACGACTTACAGTATTTATTACTCATTTCTGACAAGAATTTGTTACAGATTCCCAGACGTCTACGTCGATGGGCAACAAAAATATAATGCTGTCTCTATCGAATGGAAATCAATGTAAGAACAAAATTCCACCCATACTCGGATTCAACAACGAGAAGACTCATTCTGAGAAACATTCTCATATTCAGTAAATTTTATATCACACAATGAATCTATCATTACTCAGAAAAGCAAAAAAAGAACAAGTACCATGCATTGCAAAAATTAGTCTAATTAGCTTAAACAAAGCTTCTGAGGCACTCGTTAAAAAGTATAAAATAGATACTAAATATCACTTGTTGCAACAGTACAGCCAAAGAGTACAGACACTGTTAAAAATTCTGATAAATATTTATCCCACTTAACGAAGAAAAACTTTGTGCATGAAATAAACAAAGTTTTACAACATTCAATATATAAACGTATATGTGTAAAAACTGTCTTGTTGAAAGGTAAGAAAAAGTGACCGATTACAATAAAGAAAAATCTTTAATTAAATGCACAAAAGGATTTATTAAAAAAGAAATCAAAAGAAATTACATACGTCCGCCGCTTAAATGTAGCGAGATTAAACGCATAAATTCCGCCGTCCTGAAAATTATCACCGCGGTGAAATCAATTTCTCCACGATATACCCCCAACCACGCTGACCCGCGTAATCAAAAATCCCCTACGCCTAAGATTCAACTAAATTCTCGAAACTGGAGAATTACAACTCTGCCGGTTCGAGCAACCGATCAAGAATGTTCGAGCATCTGGTAACAGAATGATCGTGGCGATAATTTCACAGGCGGTGTGTAATTTTTACAATCTCGTTGGCGGTTTGCACGCGATTTCACGCGGTCAGAATTCGCGCGGCGGCTTTACGACGCGAAAATTTCCCCTCGGTGTGCACTTTAACGCGAACGGCCGTTCTCTAAATCGTACATAAATTACTCCTAACGAAGGCCAAGGGGACGGCGTTCGAAAAATTTATCGCATCCATTCTGATCTATCGGCAAATCGTGTTGCACGATGGTGAACCGTTATCACGGGGGTCAGACGAACCTGGCACGTCGTACGATTTTCTTATTGTGCAACGGCGCCTCCTCGCCAGGTGAAACAGAATACAAACCGGGCTGGAGATTTTTTGTCAAGTCGCGGTCAAGTATCGGTACGCGCCGCTTATTTCGGCGCTCGATCAACGTAAATAACCCTCGTCGTATTTTACCGGCGGCACTGGATTGCCTAATTAAGTCAGCGGACAGCGCGTTAAGAGGATCGAGAGAGGAGAACCGTATTAAATATATCGAATTCTTTAATGCTTGGAACGGGAGATTGGATTTTAGAGGGTAATTAGGAATTCGTAGTGAAGTTGTGTTGTTTATCGGTCGAGATTGTGTTAATTCTGGAGAGGAGAGTGTTGAAAGGGTTAATTTCAAATTTTTAGAAATTTAAGGTAATTTCGATTTAGAAAATCGAGGCGATTCGTTACGATTATTCGAGACAGTATACTCAGGAATTCTTTCGGATTGGATTCGCATAATTGATTCGAAGTTATGGAGTCTCTATCGCGATGGTGTTTGCAAGGTACCAGAAAAATGGCAAAAGGGTCATCGATAATAGTGGACGTTATTTTTATGATCGGTCTGTTTTCATTCTTTTTGATTGTACTCAAAATTTCTACACCTAATATGTCACACTTGGCTCATTTTGCAGGAACAAGGGAAATTCTTTTAATTAACGACAATAATAGTTTTTCAACATTTTTATCAAATACGTGTATCTTTATCTGAATGATATTTTCGTGATATTTCTGTTTCAACTTTTACGACTTCTATTGCTTTTGTACTAAATGATATGAATTAGCTGAAGTAAGTACGAGATCTATACTTTGTAGATCACTATTTTACTATACACGACTGGTGCTATTTCTGCACTCATTTGATATATTTAAACGCGAACATCATTCAGTGCACAACGCAATTTAAAAAAAAGATTGACATACGACATTTAAACTAAGTTTCGTCGAAATTGAATTTTTTGAAGCACGTATTAATTAAAAAAAAAAAAATGAAGATCTATCTTTTTGTCTTTTACCAAAACGAAGAATAATTTGATCAACATAATTCACTCGAAGTTCAAATTTCATTTTTCAATTTGCCATTCTGTTACGTTTCAAGTTAAACATTTTCCAATTACCCCGACGTTAAACGTTAAAGTAAGGCTGGACGGAATTTAAAGCACTTCTTTCAGGCATAATAATCACGATTTTATCAGATAATTTCGAGTCGTTTAATCTTCTCCAGTCATGCGAACAGGCGTAAGCCTTTAATCTTCTCGAAAACCGTGCAAGAATATAGATGTCGTGTTATTAGCAGGAATATTAAAAAAACTTGAAGAAGTTGAAATCGCCTGTAGATGAAGTGGATCGCGTGTAGGTAGAAAGTTGCATCGGCGTTGCGGTTAATTTAATGTTACATTGTTCAACAGTGTGTAATGATCGTGGTCACGTGGCCTCGACGTATACCAAGAGCCTGAAGAAACCGGAATAAATTGGGGATTATCGTCTCGGCGAAGTTTCAACCAAAGTACACTTCTATCGTCGCGTAATTATTATCGTAAAACGTTCAACCACGGCTTCTTCTTTTTTTCTATCGAAGTCGAGGGAAGTTAATTTCACAGCATATAAAAATCATCGTCGTCTATCGATTTTGTCAGATGTTATCTCTACCTCGTAATTAGTTATCCTACCGCCTTCTATTACACCCTTAGACCGTTGTACGTATCGACAGACGCCGTTTCCTGACGAACGATGTCAATTTCTTGCCTTCTACTATTTCTATCGTGTATCCAAACATTGTATTCCTTTGAATAGGCAATTTAATCAATTGACCGATGTTATCGATCGATAGATTCTCGCGATAAGGATAGACGATCAGGTTGTTTTTAATGGAATATCAAGCGTACGGTGACTTGGAAATTTAACGTTGGCAATTAAATCTTCGTTGCTCTTTTTCCTTTTTCTTTCTCGGTCGTAAAGATTCTTTTAACATTTCGTTAATGGTATATCGAAAGGAGAAAAAGAATGTCGCGTGGAATGCTAAAATATTTACAACCCGAAGGATCATCGACCAGTTTAACAACGTTGTAAAACACACGGTGGAATACCTTAGAAAATTGCTATACCACGTACCACACGGGTGTAATTGAGTTTTCACGATTTTTAAACGGGCACGCGAGGTGTACACGTGAAACGGAGAACCGGGACGTGTGTAAACAGACGAAAATGCATGAAATATCGCGGTGCAAATGAAAACAGTAATTCCATATTATAATTAAATGTTTTTACGAGCGTGAATCGATATTCGACTGCGTTACGACGGAACATAAATTATTATACCGGCCAAAAAAGACGCATCGTTGCACTCTACGATTCGCCGCCACGTGGGCCGGCTCTTACACGATATAATGTATAATTTATGGTAGATGGCCAATGGGAGGATCCCGTTAAGGGGCCTCGATACTTCTCGCAAGACAGTCCGCCTTTTCGGACTGATTTTTCTTCCGTCTCGCGTCGACGACGCGTGTGCTGCGGCGAATTTTTTCGTCAACCAATTGCAATTCGCGTTGCGATCGCTATGTAACTAGTCATAGATGCAACTCTTTACGCCAGAAAAGCTCCAGAAACTTTACTAACGCTAAAATGAGTGCATTAATTAGATTAGCAACGAATTTCGCGAGTTCACATTTTTTGAAACAAAATTCCTCTACTGAAATTGAACAAACGGCAATTTCTAAATGAGAAAATTCTTCAAATTTAAGCGAACCTTTGTACATGCCTTTTTACAGTTTGTGCAAGGTTTTAGGTCAAGAATTTATAAAGGAAAAATTAAATTTTGTTTCTGTAATTAAATTTATTTCATAAAATTGTTTGCAAAATTTCTTTTATAAAATTTCAAAGAAAAATTATTATAAAATTCTTCAATTTACTTCGCAAAATCTTTGGTGCAATGAACATTGCTAAATACAAAAGTTCTTCTATCAAACTTAAAAAGAAAATTATTATAAAATTCTCGAGTGGACTCGAGCTTTCCGAAAAATGAAAAATAAAATGTGTCTTTTTCCCCGAATTAGCCAACAATTCTCCAACTTTCAAAGTTTAACCGAACTTACGACAGAAGAACCGCGAAACAATAAAAATGACTCGCACGTGCATTTCTTCCACCTAACGTACACAAACAAACACGTTTTCATTCTCGAACAGTGATTTCGTACAAACTGCCGGCTAATCGATAAAAGTTCGTTACACCGACGTGCAAAATCATGGTTGCATTTTAAAATCGCGAATAAGCATGCAGGTGAGCGTGCTATGCGTCGTCCTTGATCCACAGTAGGTGGGTATGTCGGTGCATGTTGCTTGGAAAATAAAGGATGCATGTGCATCGTTCGTGTTGAGAAATAGCAAGAAGTGTACAGTATATCCGAGTCCGTGGGATGATTCAATGATTCCATTTCGAACAACCAGAGAAATCGTTTTCTCGCGTGGAAAAGTAAGTTACGCGACCGGGGGACCACTGTGCCTCTCGTTATTTCCTTTTGCGCGTATCATTCGTGCGCTTGCCAACCATTTCGATCGTACACAAAACGATAACATCTCTACAATTCTGTACGGAGTTTGTTATAAAAGCATATCGGACATTTTCGAACGAGCAATAAATTCTGATTAATTTTCGTCGTTTCCACATTTTTATTCATCGTGTTGCGGTACAGGTGATGGGAAATATGATTAATATCGTACAGAATGCTTAAAAATATTAACGTTTGTATTATTTTCTTTGGAACAAAGGAGAAAGGTTATCGCATGGACGAAGGTCTTTGAATCATCAACGGTTTCTGAGAAAGGTGCCAAATTTTTTAATATTTCTTTCAAGCACCTTTTTAAGAAAATTCGAATGTAATTGGTAGGAATTGTTTATGATTTTCTCTAGGAAGGAAGCTCAGCTATCATATCGAACGCTGCTTAAAATTAAACTAGAGATATTAGTATAATAAAGAGCCTCCTGGCTTCGCACAATCCTCCGCGCACACTTTACATCTGTACCATTTATTTCATATCACCCGTGATCACCTGTAATTATCCTTTTAAAAGCATTTACGCCTTAATCTCCGC